GTCTGAATACAAATGTGTAAATCAACTATCTGCTCACCACTCATTGCGTGCGTCTGTCGTGGCGCGTCTTCGTTGGTTGATATAATGGCCTATATCAACCAATTAGGAACTACTCGTAAGTGCTACAGGATATTTGTCCTTATGACAATATTCTGAGAATATAACTCTTATAGTTATATTCTATCAACAATTTATAAGAAATTGTTAGTAGTATCTAACTATAAGAATTTCATATTCACAATATTGTGATAAGGACATTATTCTGCAGCACTTACGAGTAGTTCCTAATTGGTTGATGTAGGCCATTGTATCAACCTACGAAGACGCGCCACGACAGACGCACGCAATGAGTGGTGAGCAGATAGTTGATTTACACATTTTTATTTAGACATAGTCAGATGGAGATAAATAGTGATTTATTGCAGACATTAACTATTATAAATACAGTTCTACTTTTTACTTTAACCAAGTTCTCGCTTCTTCTTACCGTCTTCCTCTGCACGTACCAGTGTACGTGAAGTTCCGAGGCACCGCCTTATTCTGTCATCAGAATAAGTAGCTTGTACTGTCACCAGTACAAGCTTCAGGGTGCCCCGTTACACCTGGTAGCATTTCGTAGTCCGTCCAAGGACCACGTTCACATCTAACATGAATATGTTGAATGATGAAGATGAACAAAGCTTTCACGCTACGCGTGACGGCTACTCCCATTTGAGCGATGTCGAATGGGATGCGGTTGAACGGATGGGTTCAACCATGGGCATCCATGCTGTTAGCGTCGTGATGGAGGCTCTCAATAGAGATGCCCAACACCCTACTGGTCCAGCAACGTCAAGAGAATTTGTAGGCCTCTCGATGAAGGTTGCTCCCAACACACAGACGTTGTGCGTTGCTGCTCTAGGTAATGAGATCTCACTCATTACCTTGAAACTCGAAGTGACAAATAAGTTGTCCCTTCGAGCTCTAGTCGATTGTGGGGGCGTCCAACAATTTTGTGCGACGCCAATCGCTCGAAGATGGTCACTTTAAGTTCAGTGAATGTGACACACCTCCTACGAGGATGATGGTACGTCTTGCGACAGGCGCATCCGTAACCGTCATGAAGCGTATAGTGAAGATCCACTATACGCTAGAAGATACCCGATATGACGATGACTTTATCGTATTGGATTTGGATGACAAATTGCATGTCATCCTTGGAATATCGTGGCTCAGAAAGTACGAACCACGGGTAAACTGGCAACATCGAACAGTAACGATGCCTGCCGCTTGTTCATCAGATGGCCATCTGATGAACGTTTTGGAGCGTCCACAAGCGTGTGGATGTACTACGAGTGAGTGCGATGGCCTCACTTGTGGTACGGTCGGTAGTACGACTGCACAAAACCTTAGTGTATCAAACGGTTACACTTCGGAGCAAAGTTCCGGCGGCTGTGAGGAAACACAGGCTGCGCCGAAGGTCCACCACTCGAATAAGTCGGGTGGACTGGGACAAAGATGTATCCCTAGCGGGGAACATCTAGAAGAGAAACAATCGATCGCTCAGGTTAAGCTAAACGATAATCCTAGATCGACTGGAGAGTTTTTCGTAGAGGATCTCGCTGTGGTTGCGCAACCCCAGCTAGAGGAAGTAAAGGGAATAAGTCCCAAAATTACAAATACGGCGGAAATAAGTTCCCCGAAACCCGCGGGAATAAGTCCCCGGGAAGCCGAAGGAATGAGTCCTTCGAAGCCTGAGGGAATAAGTCCCCAGGAAATGACAGAGAAATTGAATGTCATAGTCAATAACGGATCAAGTGTAGGCGCTTGTACACTTGATCTGATTGCGCCTCCGAAGTCGACTTCGGAGATCACTCAGTTGCCAACGCTCGAACATAAAAGGTTCTTGCGTGATCTGCGTAGTGGCAAAGTCAAGCAGATCTGCGTACTCGTCGCTGACGACGAGTGTGTAACCGACATAAGGTCAGCAACAGTGTTCACTGAGAACGAGAGAGTTCTCAGTAGTTCATCTATGGACGAGAGTGTCCTACATGAAAAGACACGAATTGAGCGATATGACTCCCAATCGTGGGAATCGCTCAAGACAAATTCTCTCTATGAAGATTTGGTTGAATTCAATGATGTAATTCCTGAAACTGTTCCGTGCGAATTACCGAAGGATAAAGGTATTCGACACGAGGTCGAGCTTAAACCAGGCTCGAAGTACTGTGTCATGAAGCAGTGGCCACTGCCCCGTGAACAAGTACTTGCGATCGACAAGTTCTTTGCCGATTGCTTAGCTGCGGGCCATGTGAGGGAATCAACTTCCCCACATAGCTCTCCGACCTTCTGTGTGCGAAAAGCAACAGGAGGGTGGCGGATAGTACATGTGTTCAACAAATTGAACGCTGCAACGGTACCGGCTCAGACGCCGATACCGAGGAAGGACGTAATCATTGATGGTATGTCAAAGAGTACCATCTTTTCGTCCATGGATTTGATGGATGGCTTCTATCAAATCCTTATGCGAGAACGGGACATACCCTGTACCGCAGTTAGCTCGCCTAGCGGCATGCTCTGGGAATGGCTAGTAATGACACAAGGGCTATGTAATGCCCCTGCCACGTTCAACAGATGTGTATCACATCTGTTGAGGCCAGTACGAGAATTCGCGCCAAGTTATTTCGATGACGTATTCATCCATAGTCGAGCTATGGATGGAAAATCGGACGTTGAGGTTCACAGGTACCACGTCCGACAGGTTCTTACAATCATGCGAAAGCATCAATTGTATGCCAATCTCAAGAAGTGTATTTTTTTTGCGGCAAGCGAAATACCACTTCTTGGGTGCATCGTTGGTAAGAACGGTGTACGTCCTGATCCCGAAAAGATTAAGGCGATCACCGACTGGACTGTGCCGGTTGATGTCAAAGGTCTTCGAAGATTCCTTGAGCTAGCGGCGTATTTGCATAAGTATTCACGCAATTACGCCGAGATGACTGTGCACCTCTTTCGTTTGTTGAAAAAGAACGAGAGGTGGTTATGGAACGCTGAATGTCAGCGCTCCTTTGATGGTATCAAGCAGAGCTTGATACAATCCCCAGTACTAGCAATAGCCGATCAGGACAGGCCATTTCATGTGGTCTGTGATGCCAGCGATTTCGCAATCGGCTGTGCATTAATGCAGTACGATCTTGAAGGCGTTGAACGCGTCGTCTGCTATCAGTCGCGTCAGCTGCAACCAGCTGAGCGGAACTATCCAGTGCATGACAAGGAACTCCTTGCCATGAAGTATGCAATCGCGAAGTTCAGAGTCTATCTATTAGGAGATAGACCCTTCATTGTTTACACTGACCATGCGTCATTACGCACGGCAGTGAACAGCCCGCACCTTTCACAACGAATGGCGCGGTGGTTGTCATTCTTTGCAGAATACAACTTTACGGTAGAGTACAAACCAGGACGACTTAATGTCGTCGCTGATGCACTCTCACGTCGTCCCGACTTTGAAACAGTCGCGAAACCCAACAGTGAGGCAGTCACTGTTGCGGTTATGACGTCCTCAGTCCCATCTACAACGTTGTATGATGATGTGAGGCGGGCATACGCCCAAGATGGTGAGATTGTGAAATTGTTGACACATCTCTCCCAACCATCTCGAGAATCGTTGAAACGATTGTCGCCTGCGTATCGATCTGCATCAGATCGATACACTACTCGCAACGGTTTACTGTATTATACAGCCGTTTCTGGTGACACACCACGTGTTGTCATCCCAGATGATACTGATCTGCGTTTGCAGATCATTTTCGAGTATCACGATGATCCTGTGGGAGGACATCCTGGCCGGGAGAAGACATGTCTCACGGTGAGTCGAGACTTTTACTGGCCCCGCCAGTATCAGTTTGTGCGAAAGCATGTTCGCGCATGCGAAGTCTGTCAACGAGTGAAGTCAAGTCCTTCACTGCTTGCACCTTTACAGCCTCTAACGGTTCCGGCTGAGTGCTGGGAATCCATCTCAATGGATTTCGTCTTCGGGTTACCCAAAGACGCACGCGGGAATACGGGTATTCTCGTATTTGTTGACAGATTCAGCAAAATGGTACACCTAGTGGCTGTACCAGAGACAATCACGGCAAGTGGCTGTGCTTGTGTCTTTATTGACACCATCTTCCGACTTCATGGGTTGCCCCGTGAACTCGTATCAGACAGAGATCCACGCATGACTGCTGATTTCTGTCGTTCCGTGTTCAAATCACTCGGAACGCGCTTGAAGATGTCGACATCTGATCATCCAGAGTCAGATGGTCAGACGGAACGTGCCAATCGTGTCCTTAAAGAGATACTTCGAGGATACGTACACTCCTTAAAGAGTTAAAGTGAGTTCTTGCCAATGGTAGAGTTTGCCATCAACAACTCGGTGCATGCGTCCACGACACATACACCGTTTTACGTGAATGGCTTGCGCCATCCGCGTGTACCCACCTTACTAGAGTGTAACTATGGTTTAAGGTGGGGACAGACTCGCGCGAGCAAAAACCGATTTGGTTCACGCTCATCACGCTCTGACGAAGAGGTCATTGCGTTTGATGCCGATATCGACAACATCGATATCGAAGAAGATGATGCCAGTGAGAGCACGGAAGCCCTCACTGAAGAAAAGGTTGGTGTCGCTGCAGTGCGCTCACAGCGCACTGAAGCTAACGAGTCATCAGATGAGTTCATCGTGGCTCGTGAAACGGTAGTCCGTTTTGTGCAAGACTCCATCGCCGAAGCGGTGGATAAGCAAAAGGAAAACGCTGATAAGAATGGAAAGGCAAACACTCTTTTATTTAATAAAGGTGACTTAGTTCTACTGTCTACGGTTAATCTACCAAAGCATGTAGTGACTAACTTGGGTAGCAGTAAACTACTACCCAAGTACATCGGTCCATTTCGTGTATTGCACCGCCTAGGCAATGCATACACGATCGAGTTACCACGTAAGATGCGAACGCATCCCACGTTTTACGTTGGTCGGCTTAAGCCGTACCATCAGTACGCTGTATCTTCCGATGAAGAACGCCCTTGCGCTCAAGCATCTCACATAGAGCCTTGTGCTCCCAATGGCGGATATCAACAAGGGTCTGAAGAGCAGCTATCTCATCCCGAGACCGGTCAGCAATCCCACGAGCTACACTTAGCTCGTCACGAAGAGATGTCAGAGATCTCTCGTTCTCGAGCTGAGCAAAGGCAAACTCAGCTCGATGCTTCGAGGCAGTGTCCACCATCTGGAGACGCCTGTCCCGCTCATGTTTGAGGTCGCCGCGCAACGCAAGAGTTAAGCGGTCAAAGAGGATCTCGGGGACACACCCTCCCCATGATCGTGTGGAGAGCGTCTTTCCACCTCCTCCACCTCCATTGGAGGACTCTCGCGGTGGCCAGCGCTATCTAGTTGAGCAGCTGTTGAGCCACCGCGATGTGAACGGACGTCGGACGAGTTACCTCGTCCGGTGGCGCGGTTATCCCCCGTCCTGGGATACTTGGGAGCCCCGCTCCTAACTGATGATTGACGTACTGGGTCTGGTTGAGTAGTACGACGCGGCACATCCTGTGCCGCAGAAGGACCGCCGGAGAAAGTCTTCCCGGCACGGTCATTAAGGGATTTCAGGTTGTCAATCCCTTCGTACATCTCAGTAGAGACACGTACGCGCCACCACGGGCTGGTAAGGAGGTAAGCCTCCTTAGGTGCTCGTGCAGAGTTGTTTACACAACAAGGGCACGGGTCTCCCCAGGAGAGAGAGGGTAACCCACCCTCCTTTGACAGACGATGCAGCTTGTAGCGGGCACCTGTCGGGGTTCTCTTTTCAAACTTATCACGAGCTTTGATAAGTTTGTCGTTCCAAGCGTCACGACCTACATCCTCAAGGTTATGGATGTAGGCGTTCCACGCCTGAAGCAGTTAGGGACCATCACGTTTGTGATTTTCACTGTACCATCGGTGTCTAAAGAAAGCATCGATGAAGAATTCATTCTCAGTGTGATAGTCATTCGCACTGGGGTCAAGGTGATGGATCCTTGACGAATTGAACAATCGTGTTCGATAGCGATCACTAGTCGTCGCCGACAAGCGATCCATGAACGACTTTGGAGGCAGCCATGCTTTCTTTTCAGGAGCGAGACGCAGCACACTGCGGTCCCGCTCTACTTGCGACGTGCCAACAGAAGTACTGGCACCTCGTTGCGAAGTAGTGTCAATAGGAGAACCGACACCACTGTGAGCGCCCGAGTCTTGCGACTTCGAGCGCCTTCGCTTTGGCGATGGTTCATCTGATTCGTCAGACAAACCAAAGATGCTATGACGCGTAGCATCATCCATGCCATGCTTGGCAGGCGGCTTGGTTTCAACTGCCTTCGATACAGATCCCTCTTCCACATCAGGAGAGTATGAGACACCGAGCTCGTACTCTGTGAAGACATGAGTGTCTTCATGACCAGCGCCTGCATCAACAGGTGACACAGAATGAGACGCTTCAGCAACCGATGAGACATCGGTTACAGCGGTTTCTGCTTCGGCGTCCGCACAGAGACGTGCGGACGCGCTCTCGGCGGCCTTGCTCGCGCACCGCATGGGCTTGTCAACCATGCGATGAAATGTTGGGAAGTGGACTCGGACCAACAAGTGCAAACCCCGTCCCAAATGATTTGGGACGAGTATCCATTTAGTCAATCAGTCACTCAAGTGACTGATGGTTAAGGGGGGGGGTGATGTAACGGGGTGAACCGTTACATAACAATTTATAAGAAATTGTTAATAGAATATAACTATAAGAGTTAAATTCTCAGAATATTGTCATAAGGACATTATTCTGCAGCACTTACGAGTAGTTCCTAATTGGTTGATACAGGCCATTATATCAACCTACGAAGACGCGCCACGACAGACGCACGCAATGAGTGGTGAGCAGATAGTTGATGTGCACATTTGTATTCAGACATAGTTAGATGAGGATAAATAGTGATTTATTGCAGACATTAACTATGATAAATACAGTTCTACTTTTTACTCTAACCAAGTACTCGCTTCTTCTTACCGTCTTCCTCTGCACGTACGAGTGTACGTGAAGTTACGAGGCACCGCCTTATTCTGTTATCAGAATAAGTAGCTTGTACTGTCACCAGTACAAGCTTCAGGTTGCCCCGTAACAAAAACATATACAGTCTGGAACGAATGGATCAAGATGCTTCATGTACTCGACTTGCATCGTCCGGTTGAACTGAATGATGACCTGCCACTTCACTAATAGTGTTTTTTTCTACTTCTGATAGATTTGGCGCGTACTCATCATCGACGTTGTCGGAAACGTCATGCTTGTAACAGGCTTCGACCTTTGTAAAACCATTCCTTTATTGTACCTATTCCCTCGATTGCTGCCAATAAATTCCCGTCAACCCTACTTTTAATGCTGTTTTTACATTAAAAAAATCACGATGAATACTTTGCAACAAATAAAAGTGATTGCTAGTATCGGTTCTAAGGTTAAACTTATTCGCATTGTAATTAACGTTGTAGTAAAAATTGATAGATGTCACCATAATCTGTCATCAAGGGATGACTGAGGTTAGCGACCGCATCAGTTATGACCGATAAAACTTGGGGTTGTGTATCACATATACAGGGTCAATCCATTTAGGACGGTAACGATCGTGTGACCTCGTTAAAGGATTGAAATTTTTTTATCAACGCTGATAAAGTCAAAGCTTGGGGGATGCAAGTAAATTTTACTAAGAGTGTTTCGTGTGACGTGTTTATAGGCCGCGTCGGTACCAGCTCGAAAGCAGCAATTGAATTGTGTCTAGCGGCTTGTGGGGAGCTCACGGGTATTGATTGATTCAGACGATAAAGAGAGACACAAAGTAGTGGGCCAAGTAGTCTTGCATTCAGTAGAAAGGCTTAGTTTGTAAATGATTTTTCACAAAAACATTTTTGGGACGCACCTTTGTCGATGAGGCTCAAGAAAACATCGATTGCCGTGTGTGGTGAGCTGCTCTTGCTTGAATAAAATGTGAATGCCAATCGTTGCCAGCATGGACCATCGACAATTTCTGTTGGGCACCTGAGTAACGGGGTAGGCAGTTACATGATACTGACACCGAACGGTGTCTATATGAATATTGTCTAGCATGACAATATTCTACCGATGTTATTCGAGATGGATAATATTGAAGGAATGTCATTCTCTTTTAGGATTATATTCTTGTGCTGCTCAAAGATTGGTTGATAAAAGACATTTCAATCATAGAATACGACCAATCGCTGCTAGAGGCGCGCAGTGAGCGGTGAGCAGGATGTCGTCAACCGACGACGTAGTTTGACATAGTTAGATAAAGAATAAAGTTATGTTGATCGCTTAACTACATTAAATACAGTTCTCTTTTCACCCCTTACTCAGCTTAGTCGTTGAGTAGACTAGCTACCTCTGCACGTACTAGTGTACGTGAAGTTTCGCGGCACCCCAAGAAAGGGTGCCCGTTACACCTGGTAGCACTTTGTAGTCCGTCCAGCGACTACTTAGTGTCCGTCCAACATGAACATGTTGGACGTAGAAGACGACAGTTTCTACGTCACACTTTAAGGCTAATCCCATCTGAGTGACTCAGAATGGGAGATAGTAGGCCGCATGAGTGTGCTTATGGGCGAACCCGCCATCAGTAGTATTTTGGAGTCTCTAAGCAGAGACCAGCAACATGCTGCTATCAACAAGTTCCTGCAAGGGAACTTGCCGACGAACGACAGAAGATATCCTTGCTACAGCAGCAAGGCTCTCATCAGTCGATGGGAAGGCCGACGCACCTGCGTCGAACCGAAACCTTGAAGATTGATATCTCAAGGTATTAGGGAACCGGTGAAGATTCCCTTTTGAGATGGTTCGTCGAGATAGACGATGCCATCAGGGCCCGTCACATCGAGGGCGACGAGATGCAAGTCACCCTCGCCCTGTCACATTTGACAGGCCGAGCAAAGACTTGGGCCTTAGGGCTCAAGCTTCACGACCCGAACGTGTTCGAGTCGTTAAAGATCTTGAAGTCTCGGCTTGAAGAGACGTTTGAACTGCCGGGAGCCGAGTACAGAGCATGCTCTGCACTCTTGAGGCTAAAGCAAGGTAAGCGTGACGTGCACGCTTTCGAACAACATTTACGCTACCTTGGAGTAGCGTCACGAAAAACTCTGTTGATGAGACACGCTCATCAACGTGCTCATCTACGGCCTTGTAGATGGGCCGGTGAAGACCTACATGTTCCGAGAGGACTTCCATACGCTGGAAAGGGCGATAGCGTATGCGGAACAAGAAGACTTCAGCCTGAGACAGTCTCAGGCTAACTCGTTAAACTATCGTCCGACGAGACGACAGGAAACAGGAGGTCCCGAGCCAATGGACCTCTGATACATCGAGAGCGAGAACGCTCGCTCTATGAGTCACAAGCGAACGGCAAGATGCCATCGCTGTCAGAAGATCGAACACTACGCTCATGAGTGTAGTATAACAAGCACTGCAACACGTCCAAAGACAGGACATGATGACCACCGTTGGACAGGAAAGGTCCAAGGCGTGGGTCCGACCATTTTGCTAAACCGCGACAGCAAGTCGGACCGCCAAAAAACGGACAGGGTCAGTAGGGGCGGAGCACCCTGCTGATCTAGCAACGTCAAGAGAATTTGCAGGACTCTTGACAAAGATTGCTCCCAGCACACAGTCGCTGTGTGTTACTGCCCTTAGTGGTGAGAAGTCTCTCATCACTTTGAAGATCACAGTGACAAGTGGAATGTCACTTCGCACCCTAGTTGACTGTGGTGCGTCGAACAGTTTCATTCGACGCCAGTCGCTAAGGGATAGTAGTCTCAACTATGTTGAGCGAGAGTTCCCTCTAACGAGGATGACGGTGTGCCTTGCTACAGGCGCATCCGTAACAGTGAACAAACGTGTAGTAAGAATCCAATACACGCTAGAAGGAAAGCAATACGATGATGACTCTATCGTACTAGATTTGGATGACAAATTTGATGTCGTCCTTGGTCTGTCATGGCTTAGAAAATACCAGCCATGGATTAGCTGGCAGCATCGATCCGTGAAGATGCCTGCCGTTTGTTCATCGGATGGCCATCTGATGAACGTCTTGAAGCGTCCACAAGCGTGTGGATGAACTACGAGTGAGTGCGATGGCACCACTTGTGGTACGGTCGTTAGTACGACTGCACAAGATCACATTTTAGATGTCCACTACATTGTGGAACCAGCTTCCGGCACCTGTCTAGAGACACAGGCTGCGCCATAGGTTCACCACTCGAAGAAATCGGGTGGACTGGAACACGGATGCACACCAAGAAGGGTGCATTTAAGAAGAGAGACTAGTGTTGTTTATCTTAAGCAATAAGTTGAAGCAAGAACGACTATCAGAGAGTCGATCGTAGAGCAAGCCCGATCGACTGAAAGAGAGTCGATCGAAGAGGATGTGACCGTGGTAGTACACCCACAGTCAGTACACGAATTAGAAGAAAGTTATAGCGTTTCTGAAAGAAATAACTCCCTAAATAGTTATGTTGAGGGTGTGGATCCCCAACCACCTGCGAATGTGTTTTCCCAGGAGATCACCGAGTCAGTGAATGTCTTGGTGAATGACGGATAAAGTGTAGGCGCTTATACACTTGATCTGGTGACACCCCCCAAGTCAGCTTCGGAGGTAGTCAAGTTGCCGACGCTAGAATCTAAAAGATTGTTGCGAGATCTGCGTAGTGACAAGATCGATCAGATCTGAATACTCGTCACAGAGGACGCGTACGTCGCCGATATTCGGTCGGCACAAGTGTTTGCTGAGAACAAACGGGTTCTCAGTAGTTCATGATTGACGAGAGTGCCCTCGATGAGAAGACCGTATTGAGCGTTACACATCTCAATCTTGGGAGTCTTTAAATACAAATTTTTGTGTAAGGATTTGGTAGAATTTAAGGGATGTTTTCCCGAAATCCGTGCCATGCGAGCTGCCCAAAGCCATAGGGACTCGGCATGAGATCGAGCTTAAACCAGGCTCGAAGTACTGTGTCATGAAGCAGTGGCCACTGCCTCGTGAACAGGTAACAGCGATCGACAAGTTCTTTGCCGATTGCTTAGCTGCGGGCCATGTGAGGGAATCAACTTCCCCACATAGCTCTCCGACCTTCTGTGTGCGAAAAGCAACAGGAGGGTGGCGGATAGTACACGCGTTCAACAAGTTGAACGCTGCAACGGTACCGGCTCAGACGCCGATACCGAGGAAGGACGTAATCATTGATGGTATGTCAAAGAGTACCATCTTTTCGTCCATGGATTTGATGGATGGCTTCTATCAAATCCTTATGCGAGAACGGGATATCCCTTACACAGCAGTGAACACCCCAGTGGATGCTCTGGGAGTGGCTAGTGATGCCAAACGGCCTAAGTAACGCCCCTGCAACGTTCAACATATGTGTTACGAATCTGTTGCGATCGGTGCGAGACTTTACACCGAGTTACTTTGACGATGTCTTTGTCCGTAGCCGGGCTATGGATGTAAGAAGGACGTGGAGATTCATAGAATCCACGTCCGGAAGGTCCTTACACTAATTCGAGAGCATAAGTTGTTCAAGAACCTCAAGAAGTGTATATTCGTAGCGAGCGAAATGCCACTTTTTGGCTGCATCGTGGGTAAAAACGGCGTACGCCCTATTCCGGAAAAGATCATGGCGATTAGCGACTGGTCTGTGCCAGTCGACATCAAGGGACTTCGAAAGTTTCTTGGCTTGGCGGCGTACATGTACAAGTATTTGCGAAACTATGCCGAGATGAACGTACATCTGTCTCGTCTACTAAAGAAAACCGAGAGGTGGTCATGGAGCGCTGAGTGTCAGCACTCCTTTGAAGGTATCAAGAAAAGCTTGATACAATCGCCCCAGTTGGCGATCGCAGATCAGGATAGGCCATTTCATGTGGTCTGTGACACCAGCGATTTTGCATTCGGCTGCGCGTTAATGCACTACGACTCAGACGGCGTTGAGCGCGTCGTCTGTTATCAATCGCGTCAGCTACAAGCAGCTGAGCGTAATTACCCAGTGCATGACAAGGAACCCCTTGCCATGAAATATTCACTGGCTAAGTTTCGGGTATATCTCTTAGGATATATGCCCTTTCATCGTTTATTCCGACCATGCGTCATTGCGCACGGTCGTGAACAGTCCACACCTCTCGCAAAGAATGGCGAGGTGGCTGACTTTCTTCGCGGAGTACAACATCTCCTTCTAGTATAAGCCAGGACGACTTAATGTCGTCGCTGATGCTCTTTCGCGTCCGCTCGATTTCGAGCCGACTGCTCAACCCAACAGTATGGTGATCTCACTGTGGCGACACTAGCAGTGAGTGTTCCGTCGTCAAATCCGCTCGACGACGTGCGAAAATTATACGCAGAAGATGATTCTATTCTGCGGTTGATGGATTATGTAGCCAATCCATGCAGTCACGCTTTGAAAAGCTTGTCGTCTCAATACCGCTCTTCAATCGAACGGTATTCAATTTGTGATGGACTGCTGTACTATACAGCAGTCGACGGCGACACACCTCGTGTCGTCGTTCCCGCTCATGATGATTTGCGACTGCGCATCATGTATGAGTGTCACGATGCCCCGACAAGTGGGCATCCCGTTAGAGATAAGACTTACCTCACGGTGAGTCGTGACTTCTACTGGCCCCGCCAGTATAATTTTGTGCGGAAATACATTCGCGCTTGCAAATTTTTTAACGGGTGAAGCCTAGTCCTTCATCCCGCGCAGCCTTGCAGCATCTGCCAATTCCGGCAGATTGCTGACAGTCCGTATTGATGGACTTCGTCCTTGAGTTTCCCATCTACGCCCACAAAAATGCTAGTATTTTTGTGTTTGTTGATCGGTTCAGCAAGATGGTACGTCTAGTTGCTGAACTGGAGTCAATCACAGCCCAGGGCTGAGCTCGTGTCTTCATCGATACTATCTTCCGACTTCACGGGTTACCCCGTGAACTCGTGTCTGATATGGACTTCCGCTTCACAGCGGAGTTCTGGCAATCCGTTCACTTGGAACACGTTTCAAGATGTCGACTTCTGACCATCCAGAAACAGATGGCCGGACAGACGCGTCAATCGCTTCCTCGAAGAGATACTTCGAGGATATGTCCACTCGTGTACGAGTTGGAGTGAGTTCTTGCCGATGGCGAAATTCGCCAACAACAACTCGGTGCACGCGTCGACAACGCATACACCGCTCTTCGTGAATGGCCTACGCCATCCACATTTACCCGCCTTCTAAGAGTGTGACTTTATTTTAAGGGGGGTTGACTCGCTCGAACAGAAACCGATCCATTTCTTGCTCATCACCCGTCGACAATGGTGTTGATGCGATCGAAATCGATGATGGTGATGACGACGATGCTGGTATATTCAGCATCGCCAATGAATGTCACAGTAAGGACGATGACGCCCTCACTGGTTAAGATAACGTTCTTTCAGCAGTGCACACGAAGCGCACTGCTGTTGACAAGGATAAATAGCAGAGGAATTTTTGCTGACTCGCGAATTGGTTGTCCGCTCCGTTCAAGACTCTAATGCAGATGCACTAGCCAGACAGAAAAGAAACGCAGACAAATATGGAACAGCAAATGTTCTTTCATTTGATATAGGATACCTAGTTTTACTGTCTACAGTAAACTCACCGAAACACGCAGTGACAAATGTGGGCAACAGTAAATTACTGCCCAGGTACGTCGGTCCATTTTGTGTGTTGCGCCGAATGGGCAACGCATACACGATTGAACAGTCCCGTAAAATGAGTACGCACCTAACGTTTTACGTTGGACGTCTCCGCCCGTACTATCAGTACGAGCCCGTTTCGAAATGCGAAGAACACCTCCGCGATCGATAGCCGAGACCATCTTCGAGTGGTCCTGTTTCAACGAGCCAGTCTGGTCAAATAGCGAAGCGACCTTCTCACGCAGTTAAGCGATGTCTCGACGAGCTGCAGTCAGCTCGTCACGAAGAGAACGAGTCGAACGTTCGTTCTCAAGTTACGCGAACGCAAACGCGGCACGATTGTCCAAAGATCGTGCGTTAGGGAATTATTTTTCCCCCTACAAGATCCTCAAGCTCATAACGCCGATTCCGTTCATGAGCCAGTTCATCTTGTAACTGTTCCCTAAGACGATTCAGCTCTTGAACATTAAGCTGATCCAGTTCTCGAGCCGGATCAGGTGTTCCCGCCACCACCACATCCTTTGGTGGACTCAGGCGGTGGTCAACGCTTTCTAATGGAGCGTATTATTGAAACAACCCGATTTGAATGGCGTCCGGACGAGTTACCTCTTTCGCTGGCGTGGCTATCCACCGGCGTGGTACAGCTGGGAGCCTCGTG